GTGAACATGTTAGGTATTGTTTTAATATTTTAACAGGATCTAAAGGCTATAACTCTTTCAGTTAAACTCCCTCCCCTCCTAAAAAAAAAAAAAAAGATAAACCAACCTCTTACTTTTTCCAGATTTCTTACCTGTGTTGCCAAACTCAACACCTGCTGGACCAGCTCCTGTGTTTCTGATGGTTTCTTGAGAAACAGTTTCACTATGGCAGTAAGCAGAGTGAGCTGCACCTAAACAAATATAATTTGATAAAGTGAAAGAATGGCATTGGCATTACTGCCATCATCTCCAAAGTGGTGTTTCCCCAACTATGAATTATTACGGGGCTTTTCTGATGTTGGTTACAAGACAAAAGGTTAAAACTCAGCCAACATCAACAATAGCAGTCAAAAGCATTCATCTGAAATACAAAGTTATTCAACTGAAAGCTCACTAGCCTCCTATCCTCAAAATGCATTTTTGGCACCAAAAATTGATTGTTTCTGGGACAGATAATTATCTGTATTTCTTAAGGTACGTACTAACATACAGATGGTGATAAAACCGGTTCCTGACCAAGTCTTTTATTACTTACTTCTTCTTTTATTACTTACTTCTACAAAAAGAATTTTGGGGGAATTATCAAATCATCTGTCATACTGGGGCAAGAATCAAGACAGTAGAAATATGTCAGATCACAGTCAATTAAGAGTAGGCTGCTAAACCGCAAAGCTACTGGCTTGTACATATTCCTTGTATTAGGTCTAGTAAAATTACTATGGGGGATTATATACATGAACTTCTATTTGCCATGAGGACAAACACCAGGGGAAAAGGGCTTAATAATTTATCTGCTTCTCTGGGCCTACGGCTTTAATTTTGGATAGAAGATGGGAAGGAGTCTAGTCATCAACAGAAAATCTCTTCAAACCTCACCACAGCCTCAGGTGAAAATCTCTGCTGTCATGAGCCCCAGCCACTAACTACTAACAAAAATGTGTAATCATCCTTAGGTGACAGAAAATGAAAAGTGGTAACTACTGCTCTAAGCCAGTGGTTGCCAAAGTGTGGCTCTGGACCAGCAGCAGCACTCTGAACCTTTTAAAAAATGCATATAGTTAAGCCCATCTCAGACCTACTTAGTCAGATAAAGGGTGAGGTCCAGCAACCTGTGCTTTAATGAGCCCTCCAGGTGTTTCTAGTGCTCATTAAAGTTTGTGAACCACTGGTCTAAGTTACACAGGTTTGACACAGTAGAAATCAGGACA